CAGATCTTTTGCAGAGGGAGTAATAGAATGTCTGTATGTGTTTCATTGTGTCCTGACTGAGCCAACCATGCACAGCCTTCAGCAAACAAGCCGTGGCTATATTTCCTAACAGCCCCACTCATAAAAAGACAACAAAAAGACATGGTTTAAATTCACACTTTTAATGAGTAAAAAGGGGAAGTAATGGCATGCAGGGAACATTTCTCTTCTGTCTGGAGCTCAAGCTGACACCAATGATCCACGGTCAGCTTAATGCTGTGGCTGAGACTTGTGGTGAAACAGGCCAATGAAAGCTTCTCCTGGGATTTTCCTTCCGAACGCAATTATTAAGAATGATGTGAGTTTCACAATAGCTGGATCAGAGCGCTTAACTTTGTCATCATGAATGAATCCCATTACACGCCGGCACAATGGCCATCTGTGGATTTGGAGACAATGACCACCATAAGGCATCTTTTTTTTCTCGTTTGTGCTGCAAAACAAAGCGTATTTGAAGCGCCTTGCCATCAGGCGTGCCCCTTTGTGTCAGCCTGCAAGGCTCAATTGTTTTCTCCTTCAGCGACTAAATGTCCGGCTTAATGTGGCGCTGCGGCTCGGGAAATGATACCCCGACCTCCACCCAAACATTGAGATTACATTCATTTGTGTTGCCTTCAAAACACACAAGATTACATCTGGGCTAAATGAGAGTACAGACATCAAGAGTTCCTCATGTTTCTTTTTGTCATTCCACATGCACTAAAAAGACTCTGTGGCATAAATATTTTGGGATCACCGCCGGAGAGGTTTGGATATATTGACAGGACGAAGATGCTGCTCTGGCTTTGAACAAGAGGAGGCTGTTTTACTTAATTCCAGGCCTCCTCTCTCTGCCTATTCTAAATACCTTGATAGCTAGCAATTTGGGCAATAAACACATTGAGGAATGGCAGCTCGCCATTTCTTCTTTTGGTCTGAGTTGGGAGCATCAAAAGGCCACAGAGGATTGTTTTTGTCATTTGGAAAAACAAGGATGACACGCATGACACCATCTGGAATTCATTCACCGCTTCAGTTTGAACATGTGCATCATATTTGGGACTTTAGATTTCAGCGTTGATGAAAACAACTCCTAAATCACACAGGTTGCCTATTCTGTGTCTGATTTGTCTCAGAAGGCGGAGCTCAGATCTTTATATAATGTCACACCCAGGTACAGAATGCATCGCCATGTTTTCTTTTATTCTGAAGGAAAGGGAAAATATATTGCCTCTGTTAAGTAAAGTTCCGCATCACATTCCTATGTTATAAGATTTAATGTTTACATTTAATCGTCAGCTAATCTGGCTGAATTTTTGGACTTGAAAATCCTTACCATGAGTCCTGCATTACTCACACCAACATATGCACCACTGCTCCAGCTGTAACACAAATGCTATTTACATGTTGCGGATAAGACCCAATACTTACATACTTTGGTCCCTTGAAACTATATGCGAATGCTCTGTCTGCATCGATGAAGATTCCCTCTTTTTAGGACACTAGATGTTCAGAAATTTAAGTAGAACTGACAAAATGACCAAGTATCTCACCCTTCTACAACTGGACAATATAGATCTGCGCCTTTGAACCTGGAAAAAACATACTAGTCAAACCAGGGGAGCATCTAAAGTAGCAATAAGATATGATAGGACTCGGTTTCCATGTAGTCCACTTCATGTCCATTTTAAGGAAGACAGGTATGGCACTTGTACAAATGCAAAAAGTTTATTCCTAGTATTTTTACTTTAATTTTTGATTGGCAGCCATAGCAACAATGGAGAATTAGGGCAAGGCTAGAGATTTTTTTTTTCTTCGATTTCAAGAATAAAGTCGTAACATTACGAGAATAAAGTTGTAATATTACGAGAATAAAGTTATAACATTGCGAGAATAAAGTTGTAACATTACGAGAATAAAGTCGTAACATTACGAGAATAAAGTT